TCCATTTTATTCTCTTTTCTTCTTCTTTTATTATTTTATATATTGGTTCTGTTATTATTTTATTACTCTCTTCTATTTCTTTTTCTTTCATTGTTCCAATTATCATTAAATATCTTTTATAAATACTTTCTATTACTCTTGATCCCATGGCATCATTTATTATTATGTAATATTTCTCATTCCCAATACTTTTCATCATTTCATCCAATTCTTCTCTTCCATACATCCCCACAAATTCTTCTACTAAAAATGATCCTTTTTTATTACAAAATATACTATCTTCTTCTCCTTTAATCCCTTCAACACTATTCCAAATAATACTTTCTCTATTTTCTTCATCTACTTTAACAATTCTACTGAGTTCTTCAAGATATCTATATGTTTCACTCATCTTTTCTTTCTCTTTCTCTTTTTTTTTTATGTTATTTTTTTTTTTTAGGGTTTTTTATAACAAAAAAATAATAAAATGTTATTAAAAAATCAGGAAAAGAAAAAAATAACTTGAAATTGTCAAATAGGAAAAGATGTTATTCTTAACTTTAATTTTTTGTTTCATTTCCAGTGTCTTTTGTGATAAAGATCACCTTGATGTGTGTGGAGTTGGTTGTCCAACATGTAGACCTGATGGTAGTTGTATGTCAGAATGTTTTGGTGGATTTAATTCAGAAGATGGATGTTCTTCATGTGCAAAAGGTTATATTAATTATCCTTACTGTACTGCACTTTGTGGAAACTTTGTAATAGATGAAGGAGAAGAATGTGATGGAGGAGAAGGATGTACTGAAGAATGTACCTGTGATAGTTCTCAGAATTATAAATATTCGAATTCAAAATGTATTAAAGATACATACACATCAGAATTAACAATGGATATTATTACGGGTGTGTTATTTGCTTTTTGTATTCTTTGTATATTACTTTATGCAGCATATTTAACATATGCAAAGAAATATAGGTTATTAAGAGAAGACGCTACATCTAATACATCCAATATATCAACTCATACGTCATCATCGTCTTCTGATGAAAGAGCAAAGAAATCAGGAAATACAGGTACTCCACCATCTATTGATTTGTTAACTAAATCAGATCATTCTACTACATCATCAATGACAGATACAGATACAAATACTTCTACAGATACATCATCTGATAATACTGATCGTTCTACAAAAAGAAGAAGACGTGCTATATTCAGACAACGAGGGGACGTATATACAAAGATTCCAGAAAGAAGATATTTTTCATCTACACCATCATTTCCATTGGAGTTATCAAAGAACACGTTATTATTTGGAGGTTCATTTGAAAAATTAAAAGTAAGAGTTCCATATACTGATGAATTTAGTATTGTTAATATGAGAAATTCTCCATGGAATTTTTCAGTAAAAGAAATTAAAAATCCAAAATATGAAATTCTTTTAGATCCAATAGAAGGTACTATTGCACCAGGAACACAAGTAAATATTATTGCACAAATTAAATTAAAATGTTCATGCCGTGTAAATGCAGAATTGTTTGTAACAATTAGACATCAAGAAAAGATGTATACGTCAAATATTGATGTTCGTGCTGAAGCACAAGAGAGTGAATATATTGATGGAGATGAATTTGATTTAGAAAATACTACACCATCAGAAATTAATATTGGACAATGTTATTCATTAATGTGGAAACAAAAACAAATCTTTATTAAAACATTTACAAAAGCAGAAAATCCAGATCTTCAACTACGTTCAGAAATTAAATTTCTTCAAATTTTAAATGAACAACAACTTGCTTCTAAATATTATGGTAAAGCTATTTCACATAAATTATCATGTATTGTATTAGAATATTATCCATTAGGAACAATTGATCATTTTCTTGATCAACAAGTTATTTCTCCTAAATTAAAAAGAAAAATGTTAACTGAAATTGTAACAGCTATTTCAATGTTACATTCTTTCCATTTTATTTATCGTCAATTAAATCCATCTTCTATTCTTGTTGCATCAACTAAATTATCACAAGGTCCTCATATTAAATTATGTGGTTGTTCACAAATTATTAAAGCAGATGCACAAGGAGCAGTTAAATTTGATCAAAAAGGAAAATATAATTATTTTACAGATCCAATAGCATTTAATTCAACTATGAAAGCTGATTATCCAATGGATATTTTTTCATTAGCACATGTTTTTGTTATGATGTATTATGGTGAACAAATAACTGATACATTTAAAGTTACTCCACATGAACTTTCTCAAATGCAATCAACAAATGATCGTATTTTTGATATGAATGAAATTCCAAATGGAATGAATCCTGAATTTGCTCAATTAGTTTGTGATTTATGGAATTCAGATAGAGTAGAACGACCTTCTATTGCTGAATTAGCAAAGAAAGTAAAAACAATACCATTAACACAAACAACACAAAATTAAATCATAATTGAATACAAATATAAATTAAATTTGATATTTCATTGATAGTTTCGCAAATATTTCATCAATAATTAAATCTTCTCCAAAAAATCCAACTCTTTGTGAATGGTTTACTAATAATAATACATTAGCAATTGTTCTTAAAGCATCCATTCTAAATAAACCATTTTCACTTCTATTTGATGAAAAAGCAGTATGTGCATGAATGATATCACCAAGCCATAAAGGTAAAATAGGTATTTTTGGAGTAGGAGCAATAGAGTAAGTATTTCTATAAATAATATAATTTTTAGAAATATCAAATACTCTTTGTAATTCTTCAAATTGTTTAATACTTTTATGAGGTAATTTTTTAAATATATTATTTAATGAAAAATGAGATATTCCTGTATATAGTGCATAACTTACATTAAATGAATTATGTTTTAAACATTCTAATGCAACTTTAATAAAATACCTCATTCTATTGGTTTCATTTGTGTCTGTTTTAATTGAATATGATACCCACATTCCAAGGTTATCAATTATTTCACAATAAAAATCAATTGTTGGCTTTTCTTTCATTTGTACACATTCAGATGTTTCAATATCATTTAATATTAATGAATCAAATACCATTAATTGTTCTGCTAATATTTTTGATTTAACATCTGTTAATTCTCCAATTTTCTTTTTATTTTTTAAAATTGATGAATTAGTTACAATACAATTCCCATTACTTTTCTTATTATAAAATCGTTTTACTTTTACTTCTGATTTTATTACAGGAATTTCAATAATATCTCCTATATTTTCTTTTAATGGTAAATTTGGATTTATACGAATTAAATGTTTTAATAATGCGTCAATACATTGAAGATTTCTCTTGTTAAGATCTTCTCCATCAACTACTAGTCTTAATTTTTTACATAATTCATTTGGTTCTAATGCAATGGATAAATAAATTGCTAGTCTATTAGGAAAATCTGGTTCTGGTTGTTGTGGGAAAAATAATAATGTTATTAATGCTCTAGGAGAAGCTGCAAACAATGTCGAACGTACACTAATATCATCAAATTGATAAATTGGATCAAATTGTGGATTATTAAATACGTCATCAAATCTATGGCACAACGTCTCTAATAAAGAAATTGATAATTGTGATGAATATTGTAATTCAATTGGAAGAAGAAATTGACAAATAGATAAAAATTCAGTTGAATCAGAAGAACAATCTTTTATAGAAGTAACTAATGTTTTAAGTAAAGTTATATAACTCCGTGATAATCTATTAACATACATTCTACATAATGAAACATCCCAATCTTCATTAATACCCATTCTTTGTGCAATTTCTGTATCAAATGAGAAATAAATATTAGACTCTTTCATTTTTTGACATACTACCTTAATTTCTGATAAATCAGTAATACAAGAGTCTGCAATTTTTTGTATTTCAGGGTCTATTTCATCACTTGAATATATAACAAAAGAATTATCAAGATGTTTTCTTCTAATTGAGATTGTTCTTGTTGATTTAAAAGATTGTTCAGATACAAAACTACTAATATCTTTAGTTGACCCATTCTGTGATTTAAATTTAGATGAACGGAAAGAGTGTTGTGATTTAATCGACATATAAATGATTGATTTTTTTGTTCTTTTATTATTGTTTTCTCAATTCTAAAACATTTTATTTTTAAAAACTAATTGTTTTCTCAACGTTTTACTTTTATTGAATTATTTTCTCTTTTTTTATAAACTTCACTCCAAAAAGAATAAAAAAGATGTTTCCATCCATTAATAAAAAAATATAATATTAAATTAAATAATTGAATATAATAATATTTATTATTATACTAATATTCTAACTCTAAAACTTCAAAGTCTTAATAGAAAAGAATATATGGGTGTTGCTCATTTGACTGTTTGTTATTTATTAGAGACTTTATGAAGTAAAGACAACATATCACTTTAAGTATTAACTGAAGTATATTTAATTAATTAGACATTTCTTCGACATCTTGAAAAAGGATTTCCATTATTTTTAATTGCAGAGAAATATTATAGAGGTTTGTTTATAAATAATAAAACGTTTAAAAAAAATAACAAAAAAAGTAATAAATACTAGAAACAAACAATGATACGAAGTTAATAATTGATGGAAGTGGTTTTATGTTTCAAATATTGTCAGAGTGTAATTCAGATATGTTTAGTTTAGATATGTTTTTTAAAGAAATGCATTCAATATGTTTATTAAATCATATTCAATTAATATTCGTTTTTGATGGAATGACACAAACAATTAAATTTCATGAATCTATTTCTCGATTAGTACAACAATCAAAAGAAAATAGAAAATTCTTTTCGAAACCATCAACTATAAATGAATTACCTATTACTATCTTTAGTGGTCTTAAGAGAGGTATTAAATATTTATTATTGAAATATGGATTTGAGTGTATCAGAGCATACTCAGAAGCAGATCCTGTTATTATTGAAAAAGCAGTAGAAGTTAATGCATATGGAGTTGTAACTAGTGACTCAGATTTTTATTTATCAAAAGCAAATATTGTGTTTAATACTTCTAATTTTATTAAATTATTTTTAAAAGTTATAGATAAAAGAAATCATTTAAATTTGAAAATTTATTTTAAAGGAATTCGTACTTCTGATGTCATTTCTTATTTTAATTTTAATATTGATTTTATTCCACTTTTTAGTTGTATATGTGGTAATGATTTTACAAAACCTTTTAGTCACAAACTACGCAATCGTTTACGTATCATTGAAAATAAAAATGTTATTAATGACGTTGTTAATTATTTTAGAAAAACTAAATTTACTCCAATTACTCTTCTTAACTTCCTTCAATCAACACTTTCTAAAAATGATTTTAGTTTATTAAAAGTTGCACTAAACCAAATTAATAGAATGTGTTGTATTACTCCTCCTTCAATTGAAATGATTAGAAAAGAAGAAGTTTCACCATTACCTCCAGAGAAATTTCCAAATTGTTATTACTCATTTTCAATAACACTATCTGCCATTTCTGTTGCTTCTTTTCCATCTCTTAGATGTTGGTACAAATTTGATTCACCTACATTTGTTTGTTCTAAAATAAGATCTCTTTTATATTCTTTAGTTCAACCTAATAGTGAAGTTATTGAATATTTTGACAATAAATCTAACGATGTTCGTATTGGCCATCCTATTAAAACAGGAAATAATGTTGATAATGATTTATATCATTGGCTTGATTTATTAAAATTTCCAATAAAATCAATACAGTTAATACATAAATGGAGAGATAATTCTGTTGAATTTTGGAAAATTATGACGTTTATCACAATGCAATATATTCAAATATATTCATCTGATTTTCCTAATTTCCTCTTTTGTGTTGTTACATGGTATTCTTTATGTTCTCAATACCCAAAAGTTCACCAACCACCAGTGTATCATCCAAAAAGAAAAATTGATCATAGAATTCCAATTCATTTATTTACATACATTCATGGTATTTCTTATCACTTACTTGAAATTGTAATAGATCGGTGTGATATTGATAATTATTTTGTTGAACAATTTTATTCACCAAACCTTTATGCATTTACTAAGATTTATGACAAATCTAATACAGATACATTAGTCTTGAGATTAGATGAGTTATGCAAGAATGATGAAATCTTCAATGAAATTTGCATTTCTCTTAATTTGAATAAAAATTAATAATATTTTTATTATTATTTTATAAAAAAAAACTAAAAATAAAAAACTAAAAAAAAAGATTATAATTTTGATACGTAATGAATATGATCATATTTTTAAGTTTTATTTATTTTACAATTTCACAAACAATGTATGAATTTGATAATGATGCACTAGCAACAAAAGATGAAATGATTGATATTATTCAAAAATCAGCAACATATATTGCTAAATCATATCCAGTACAAGAGATAATTAAAAAATTATTTAATGATTCTGTGATAGAAATTAAACAAAAGTATATTTATGGTTCATATAAAAAATTAACAAATGTAGAACATGAAGCGTTTATGAATATTACAAAAGAAATTAATGAAACACTTATTCGAAAACCAGAAGTTATTGAACAATTTAGTACTGAATTAGTATATGATATTATTAAATTAAGAAATGGTGTTCATAAAGATTCAGAAACAGCAAAATATGAAGCTACATTTTCTCCAGAAACATATCAGTTAAATGAAACAAGTTCAGAAGACGCTAAAGGACAATTTAAATTATTTGAAAGAAAGGTGTATGAATTTAATACAAAAATTAAAGAAGTAGAGGATTTAAATAAAACTGCAATGATCTCTTTTTATGATGGAAGATATGCATTAAATCAATTGAGAAAAAAAACTGAACAAAGTTTTACTAATGGACAAGAAATAGAAGCTCGAACAGCTAAAACTACATTAATGAAAGCAGAAAGTAAAATATCGAATGCTGAAACTGCTAAAAGTGCATATGATGCAGTGATTGAAGGAATTAAAATGATGTGTGATGAAATTCAAAGAAAAGTTGATGAAATTATTCAAAAATTTAGTCCATATTATAAAGAATTATTAGTAAAATGTCTTATTCCTAAATACAGATATAAAACTCGTCAAGAGGTTGGGTTATTTACAAATATGACTTTATATAATATGGAAATGACTGAATTAGAAAAAGAATGTCATTTTCTTCCAATAAACCAAACACAAAGAGAATTAGATTATCAATGGGTAATTGAAAGTAATGTGAATAAAACACAAATTCTGTGGAGTTAAATAAATATATAACTAAGACTCAACAACAAGTTTTCTGTTCTATTTTATTAAATTAAAACTATAATATAATAAATAAAAACTAAACTAGAAATAAATTAAAAATAAAAAGAAAGATGAGACCTGGATCAAAAACCTTAAAAGAAATAATTAACATAAATGCTGAAATAATATGTAAATGGACAACATTAAGTACCCAACGTATTGTATTTTATACAAACAATTCAATGATTGATATTCCTCGATTTCAAAAACAAATTATATTACAAAAGAATTATTTAATTATATTTAAAACAACTGATGGATCAATTTATGGGACTTATAATAATTCTAATTTAAATGAAAATAAAACTGATTTATTTAATGATAATAATCATTTTATATTTCAATTAAATCCACCAATGCAATTTAAAAGAAAAGAATTAAATAATAATTCATTTAGAATCTTTCCTTGGAAAAAAAGATCAAAATTAGTTTTTTGTGTTCCTGGTGCTTTTATTATTTCAAATCCACAAGGTGTAATTTATCCATATATTTCAAATTATTATAATGGAATAAATTGGATAGGAAGAGTTATTAGTGTAAATGAACTTGCTATAGTTCAATGTATTGGAAAAACAGAAATTGCACCAATTACAATTGCTCCTCAAAAGTCACTTGAAGAAATTTATTATCAATTCGAAAATGTTCTAAAAAGTTATTTTAATAAACCTGTCTTATTAAAAAAAGTTATTGGATGGAATAGAATAATGATGAGTTCAAGTGAATTTAATAAAACAATTCATTCATTAAATGGATTTATTGTATTAATTCAAACTATAGATAATTATGTATTTGGATCTTATAATGAAAAAATACCTGATCACAAATTTGATAATGTAAAAGATCTTGTTGATAATGAACATTTTGCTTTCTCTCTTATTGGTGTTTCTTTACATCACCCAAGAAAATTTATTAGAACTAAAAAAAATACAAGAACAGTTCGTTATTATCCTGACAATCAACAAGCTTCAATTTTTGGTGTTCCTCGTTTTTATTTTATTTCAAAAGAAGCAATTCAATTATCTTATGATTTTAGTGTCTATTATCAAGATGTCCCTCCTGAAGGAATTGAACTCTTTGCTGTTGGAAGAAAAAAACATCTTAATTATATAGTTAAACCTTTAGAAGTTTGGATCATTGAAGTTACTAAATCTTCAGATTAAATGTATATTATCCTTTCTTTATTAACTTCAAATTAGATTTTTTTTTCTTTCTTATTTAAATTTTTAATTATTTAAAAATTTCATTTTCTTTTGAATTCTTTTTAAGTAGTTCTCTTTTCAAAAGAACTAAAAAATAAAATAATAAAAACTAGTTGACTTTATTATGACAGAGATTTATGAAACAATGAAACTTGGAAGAAACCATCAATTATTTATTCAATTGTTAGGGTTTAATCAAAAAATTAAAGGAAAGAATCATGTTGTATTCAGAAATAAAGAGCATCTTATTATTGATTTATTCTTAAACGACGAAGACACAACAAAAACAATGTTGCGATCCTTTTTTGTTAATTACATTAAATTATTAAAAGTAAATTATTTACCTCTACAAGAAATACAAAATAAAATTCCTATTAAAGAGAGTTACGATAATGGTGATATGAAAATTTTTATTGCTAATGACGAATTATCAGTTACACCAGAATGGTATAATGCTTTACCAAAAAATGATTTAATAAATAAATGGTGGATGATATTTGATTATGCTTTTAATTTTGATAACAAAATTTAAAAAACTCAAAAATTAAAAATAATAATCAAATGACTTTTACATCTTTGTTAATTTATTATTTTTTTAAAAAAAATAGTTGTTGTTTTAGATCCTTGAGACCCTCCAAATTCAAAATTTCCATCTGCAATTTTATCTTCTTCTTCTAATCCTTCACCTAACCAATTGACTAATTCGTCCTCTGTCCAGTTACATGATGTAATAATAAAATATCCCCCCTTACTTAACCATTGATTCAATACTTTTTTATATTGAGCAGCTCGTTCTTTTTGATTCTCTGCAACCATCAACGCGTCAAATGTTCCTTTATCAATTACAACATCCATCTCTTGAATTTGGGAATGTTCAAGACAGTTAGGTTCCAGTATGTCCATTTGTTCAATAGTCACTGTATTCAAATCAATCCCTTCTTGTTCTAAAACTTTTTTTGTAAATTTAATTGATGCTGGTGAATAATCCATTCCATATAAGTGTTGATATCCTTCTTTGCCTAATAATGATAATGTGTATCCATTCCCACACCCAACATCTAAAATTTTCATTTCTTTTGTTGCAAATTCTTCTAATCGCTCTACAACTTGTTCTGCAATATCTTCCCCAAACCAAACTTCTCCAATGTCATTTTTATCGTTCTCAAAGTTTTCTAATTCTCTATTATAACACTCTTCCCAAAACTCCTTTTTTGATAACCGTTCTTCAGGTCGATAACTCATTTTTTTCTTCTTTGAATTGTTTGTTTTCAAAAAGGGTTCTTTTATTGTTATATGAAAATTATAAAGTATAATAAAATTTATTATTTTATTTGATTTATATGAGTTGATTGATTGTTCTTTTCTATCACATAGATTAATTTCTTATTCATTAACTACTGACCTAAACAACTTCCTTTCAAATATTTTAACGAAGGTCTCTGTTTAAAACACCGAGAACATAATGAGATACAGTGACTTGCAACCGTTAGAATATAACTAGGGCCTAAATGAAAAGTTTTTCGTATATTACATTGCTATAAATGTTAGACAATTTTTGAATACAACTGTTTTAGGTCTTTGTTAAAAGTTTTCAATTTATTAAGTATATCTCAGATGCATTTTAGTTGAGACTTTGTAAATTGTTTCTTTTCATTTTGGATAAATAAACAATACAGTAATAAATAAAAGTATTATAATAATATAAAAAAAATAATAAAAAGAATTTGAATTAATGAAATAACCCAAAATGCCTTTATATGAAAATTAATCAGAGTCATCATCACTGTCTTTAGCAGCAGCAAGTCTCTTATATTGTTTCTTTAATTTCTCGTATTGTTTATTAACTTTATCAAGTTCTAATTGTTTATTAGCAAGGGCATCAGTTCCCTTCTTAATTTCATCTTCAAGACTACTCATTCTAGTCTCATCATCTCTGACTTGTTGTTGATATTTCTTAAGTTCAGCTTGAGTCTTTCCAATTTGACTATTAAATGAAGCTTCTTTAGTTTCATAATCAGCAATAGTCTTTTGAAGTTCATCTAATTTCTTTTGACTAGTCTTAGCCTTCTTTTCAGCTTTCATCTTAGCCTTAAGAGCATCTTCAGCTTCTGTTGTTAATTCTTCAATTTCAGCTTCATATTTAGCTTTAACTTTAGCGATAGAAACATTAGCTCCTCCAACTTCAGCAACTTTAGTTTCAAGTTCTTGGCATTTGACTCTAAGTCTTTGAACTTCTTTTTCTGAATCTTGTTTAAGACCTCTTTCTTTTTCCAATTCTTTTTGAAGATCATCCTTTTGAGCAGATAAGGTATTAATTCTTTTATCAGCAGTTTCTTTATACTCTTCGAAATCATTATCATTTTCTTGTAATTCTTGTAATTTCTTTTCATATGCTTGTTTTTGTTTTTGTGCTTTAGCTCTACCAGCCTTTTCAAGATCAAGTTGTTCTTGCATTTCTTGCATTCTTGAATCGAATACACTCTTTTGTTTAACAAGAGTCTTATACTTTTGATCAAGTGTAGCTAATTCATCTTCCTTATCAGCAAGATCATCTTGTGCTTTATCTAATTGATCTTTAACATCGTCTAATTCATTCATTAATGACTTCAACTCTCCATCAGCAGCTCTATAATCTTTAGTAGCTTTAGCTTTTTCTTGTTGTGCAAGATCAAGATTCTTTTGAAGGGCTTCAAGTCTAACTTGAACTTCAGCAGCTTCTTTTTCTAATCTTCCCTTAAGTCTCATAGTTTCTGCATGATTCTTCTTTTCAGTTTCAAGTGCATCTTTTGTAACTTTCAATTCATCTTGGAATTTCTCCTTCATAGAAACATCACTATCCTTACTATCAAGAAGAGCGTTGTATTTACGATCAAGTGAATCAATTTCTTCATTTAACTTATTGTTATCATCAGTAATTTTCTCAATTTCATCTTCAAGGGCTTTCTTCTCTTCTTTAAGAGAATCAATTTCAGCGTCGTTCTCACTGTTCTTAGCAACTAATTTCTCTCTTTGATTAGTAACATCTTCTAAGTTGAATTTAACTTCATCAAGTTCTGCTTGAATCTTCTTTCTTTCAGCCTCAGCATTAGCTGCAGTAGTTCTTTCTTGTTCTAATTGTTCCTTTAATTCAGCAATATCACTTTCAAGTCTTTGTTTTTCTTCTTCTTGAGCAACACTACTTGGTGCATTAATTTGGAATTTAAGTGCTTGAATTTCTGTTGTTAATTTCTTAACTTCTTCTTCAAGTCCTTTTCTCTTAATTGTTTGTTCACTAACTGCTTTATCGGCTTCATCCTTATCTTGTTCAAGTCTCTTTTTAGCATTTTCTAATTTCTTCATTTCATTTTCAGCAATTTCAATCTTACTTGTCAAGTCATTATTTTTAGCTTTTAATTCTTTGTTTGTAGCTTGAAGTTGATTATTTTGATCACCTTTCATTTCAAGAGCCTTGTTCAAATCTGCAATTTGTGCATCTCTAATCTTAATTTCATTTTCATCAGCATTTCCTGTTCCAACTGGTCTTGATTCAAGTTCATTAACTTGTTCTTCAAGTTCTGAGATTTTCTTCTTATCTTTATCTGCTTTACTTCTTAATTCATTAAGTTCCTCTTCTGCACTTTGGTTGTCTCTTGTTAATTTAGTAATTTGAGTATTTAATTTAGCAACAACCTCATCATGTTCTTCAACAGTCTTATTTAATTCTTCAAGATCAGCATCTGATTGTTTCTTAGCAGTAAAGATTGAATCTTTTTCAGCAATAGCAGCACTTAATTTGTCTTTAGTTTCTTTTAATTCACCCTCTAATTTTTTAACTTGTTTTTCTTTATTCATTCTGTCCTTCTTTTCAATGTCAAGATTTTCATTTGCTTCTTCTAATTCAGTTTCTTTTCTTTTAAGTACTTTCTCATAGTTTTCAACTTTGTATGTATTTTCTTCATCACGAGCTTTAATCTCTTCCAATGTCTTTGTCATCTTCTTATTATCAGCAACAAGTTTGTCTCTTTGAGCCTCAACTTCTGCTTTCTTTTCATTGGCCTCTTGTAAATCAGCATTTGCTTTTCTTAATTCAGCTTGAACGTTCTTTAATTTTTCATTGGCTTGATCAATTTCTTCGCTAAGTGCTGCCTTTTCGTTTTCATTATCTTTGTTCTTGGCTTCAACAACAGATTTAGCTTTAGTAAGTGCTTCAAGTTCAGCTTTCAATGAATTCAATTCTTTATCACTTTGTGCCTTCTTCTTATTCAAAACTTCAGCATCAGCAACTGCTTTTTCATGATTATCTTGGACCTCATTCAATTGTGCTTCAAGATCTTTTGCTTTAGTTTTAAGTTTTTCATTCTCTGCAGTCATATCTTCTAATTTCTTTTGAGTATCTTTCAAATTATCTTCAATTTTCTTCTTGTCCTTTTCTGTTGAATTCTTACTACTTTCTACATTTTCTTTTTCCTCTTGAAGTGCTTTCATTTCTTTTTCAATATCTTTCTTCTTCTTCTCAGCATCTTCTTTTTCAACTTCTGTTTCATCAAGTTTTTCTTGTAAGCTTTGAATTTCTAATTCCTTTTCTTTAATAGTTTTTTCTTTATTCTTGACATCATTTCCAATTGCCTCCTTTTCTTCTTGCATCTTAGCAATTTGTGATTCATATTCTTCTTTTTGTTTTTGAAGGTATTGTGAAACATCTGCTCCTTTAGTAATTTCATCATCAAGTTCTTTGATCTTTCTTTGAGCATTTCTTAAATCTCCTTCAATCTTATTCTTATCATCTTCTAAATCTTCATAATCTTGTTTCAATCCGCTTATCTTCTTTTCTAAATCTGCTTTAGTCTTAGTAAGGTTCTTAGTTGTTAATTTCTCATTTTCAAGATTTTGACTCAAACTATCTCTTTCATCAGATGCCTTCTTGGTAGCAGCAACTTGAGCAGCAAGACTTTTTTCAGTTTCTCCAAGTTTCAATTGTGTTTGTTGTAATTCATTTGTAAGATTTTTATTCTTATTTTCCTCTTCTTCTAATTCTTGTTCTAACTTAGCAATTTCATCCTTAGCATCTTCACATTCAATTGTAATCTTATTTAATTTCTTAGCAATATCATCCTTAGTAGCACTAACATCAGCTCTGTCTTGTTCAAGATCATCTTTTTCTTCTTCAAGTAACTTAATATCTCCTTTCAACTTAGTAATTTCATCTTCTTTTTCTTCAATGCTTTCTTGCATTTCAGCAATTGTTTTATCTTTCTTTTCTACAGTTGCATTTAAGGTATTAATTTGAGAATTCAATTCAGTAATTTCATCTTCTAAATCTTCTCCTTTCAATTTTGAATCCTTCAAATCTCCTTTAAGTTTGTCAATAGTTTCTTTTAACTCTTCTTTATCTTCTTCAAGATTTTCAATCTTCAAATTCAATTCTTGTTTATCTAACTCTGCAGCTGATAATTTACTTTCTAATTCTGAAATCTTATCTTCAAGGTCTTGAATCTTAGCTTCTAATTCTCCAATCTTAGCTGTAGCACTAGCAAGTGCATTTTCAGCAGCTTCTCTCTTTTTAATTTCTTCAGCAAGTTTCTTCTTGAGATCTTCAATTTCTTTATCTTTCTTCTTTCCTTCTTCTTCAAAGTTTCTTCTCTTTAACATTGGTCTAGCTTTAACATATAATTTCCACCAAGCCCAATTTCTAAAAGTGACCCAACTCTTAAGTGTTCTTTGAATAACAATAACTGCAACTTGTTGTTCTCTTAATACACTGAAATGTTTACGAGCAGCAAAAGCTCTAGCACATGCTTGAAGACCTCCAAGCATTTCTGAAATTTTAGCTTCTCTAACTTCTTCAATTTCTGCAAGAATACCAACTCTGAAGAAAATCTTTGTCTTACCGAATTGATAATCTCCTTCTTTAGCTCTTGGTTGTCCATCTTTCTTATATTTCTCAATAATTTGTCTCATAAGAGTAGATGCAGTAGCCTTTTCATCAGAAGCTCTTCTATTAATCTTATCTCCAAGGAAATAATATCTCTTTAAGAATTCACTGTAAATCATTCTATTTGGATATCCCATACGAGTAATTCTAATTCCTTCAAGAACACCATTACATCTTAATTGTTTCAAAACAGTTGAATCAACAAAGTATCTTTGTTTCTTTTGAGTATTTGGAAGAATACATCTAATGAAATGTGGATTGGTCATCTTCAATTTTCTCATTAATTCTTCTAATTGTGCTTTATGATTTGATCCTACTGTTAAGAATTTAGCTGCTTTACTGCTTCCTTTGCCTGTTCCCATATCATCACCAGATGATCCAGCAATACCTTCAGTAATTCTGAATAATCTGCTAATTAAACTACTTGAATCTTTACCAATAAATACTTGTTGAATATCTCTTTCCAATGGATCTCTGTTCTTCTTAACCCAATCCCTAGCATTATATGTAACAGTTCCAGCATAATGAAGAATATCAAATTCATAAACTCCATCTCCTCCAATTCTTGGTTTTCTAAATCTTGGATGTCCTCTTCCAAACGTGTTACAAATATTGGCATGGAAGTTTTCATCACTTCCTGATGCAACAAATGACTGTTCATCAAGCATAGCAAGAATACCTGCTGGAATCTTACTTTCAATTAAATCAATAACTGGTTGAAGATCATCTCCGAAGTTTTGATGTGTCCATGGGATACCTTCATTTTGATATTCTAATTGTTCTAAATTGAACATATGATTATTGAAGAATTGTTGTAATTTTTCATTAGTCAAATTAATACATAATTGTTCAAATGAATTCTCTCTGAAAATTTCAAAACCAGCAATATCAAGAATACCAATAGAATGTGCTCCAGCTTTACCCATAACTTCATTAACTTTATTAACAATGAAAACAAACAATCTGTGATAAATAGCTTTCAAAGTAGCAGTAGTATTAAATTCAGCTTCTTCTTTGGATAAATGTCTTTCAATAATTTCAAGACCTGCTTTAATCTTTGGTTGAATAATAGCTTTTCTAAGTGATTCAGCATCAACTCCAAATAACTCAGCTGCTTTAGCAAATGTTTCTGGATTAGCTAATTCAGCTCCATCTCTTCCTTGACTATATTCGACATTTCCAAGATGTAACATACCAGCAACAATCTTAAAGATTTGATTTTGTTCATCATCAGTAATGTTCATTGTTCTCATAGCTTTAATAGTGTTCTTGAATTCTTCTGCATCATCCATATATTCAACATTTAATTCTTGTGGTGATTTTTTGTTTTGATAAATTAATTTATAAGATTCTGGTCTGTCAAGGTGCATTTCTGATTTTTGTTGAGCAGTAGCACCAGCTAATAATTGATAGAAAATATGATAATTTCTATCTTCTCTTGCTTGATAAACAACTCTTGATTTTTCAAGAAGGTATGATGACATAATACATCCTACAATCTTTCCTCCATTAGAGAATTGAATTTCAATGAATTTACCAAATCTTGATGAGTTATTGTTCTTAACAGTTTTAGCATTACCAAAAGCTTCAAGCATTGGATTCAAATCAATCAATTGTTCTTCTAACTCTCCAAGTTGACCTGCTTTCTTTGATTGTCCTGCAGTCATTGCAAGGAATTGAATAACTCTCTTAGTATTTTCTGTTTTACCTGCTCCTGATTCTCCTGTAATTAAAATTGATTGATTTCTAAATTTTGATGCTGGATCAAGCATAGCTCTATAAGCTCCATCAGCAATTGCATATACATGTGGTGCAACATCTTCTCTTCTTCTTCCTTGATATTTACTTACAATAAATGGTGTATAAATTGGGAAAAATTTATATGGATTAATTACAACACAGAAAAGTCCTGAGTATGTATGAATAATATCTTCCATATATCTAATTCTTAAATTGTATAAGACAGTAGCTTCAGATAAATGAGTTAATTGAGACATATCATCAACTCCATCAAATTTCATTGGATTTCTCATAAAACAATTTTTCTTATCCATTTTTAATTCTCCTCTTTCTGTATCTAAAATGTATTGATCTTTTGTTTCAGTTACTACTTTTGCAGTATAGAACTCATCATAATCTTGTTCTTTTTCCATTCCATTTTCTCCAATTTCTGTTTTTGGTCTTGGATTTGGATTAGTATACCAAACCCAAGTTTCTCCTGCTGGAACACCTTTATAGGTGTCTGATTTTTTATAGACCATAAACTTTTCATAATCTGCTTGAGACCCTTCTCCAAATTTATTAGCCATCCTTTATAATTTCTAGATTTTCTTCTTTTCCTTTTATTACTCCTTCTTTTTTATCCTTTTTCTTTTTTTCAACTCTTACTACTTTCATCTTTAAAGTCGAACTCCTTATTTCTTTTTATTTGATTGGTTACTTTGAGATTTTTTTTCTTTTATATGAGACTATTTTTACTCTTTTTTTATATCTGCGATTTATGTTCTCTGGTTCTTCTTCCTTTTGTATTTTATTCATCTCTTCTTTCATTTGGTATCCAATAATTAAATCTGTCCTTTCTTTTATCTTTTTTCATAATTTAGTTTTTAACTACATTTATTGTTTTTAACTGCATTTATTGTTTTTAACTCTACTAGGATTTATTTCCTTACTCTTAAGACTGATTATCTGTATTATTTCTGTTTAATTAATTCTCAATAAAACCTGTTTGGTTAACATTTATCAATACCCCTTTATTTCGTTTTATATTTTCATTCTTTCATTGTTATTTATTTATCCATCTTTCATACTCACTCATCTTTTTTACTTTATACAACACAAAGTTTCAACCGTTCTTATTCTTTGTGTTAGTGCACTACCCAAGGTTATTCTTCTCAAACACAACAAATTTTGATTTAACTAATCAATCAATTTAGTTTTACTTCAAGCATTTTATAATTGACCAAAATTGTTTGGTCTTATCTTCTAAGGAATGACTGTTTAATACATTACCCTCTTCTAATCCCTAAGAACAGACTATAAGTCATTAACACATTTCATTATTACTTCACTTTTTCTCAAACTGAAATAAAATACTCTTTATAAGAACAACTACATTACATTTTTTGAGTAAATAGAAGAGAAACAAAATTCATAATGTTAATAATTAACAAAATAATAACTATTTTTTTCAAATAACAACTATTCTTTTATTATTTTCTTTTTTTTTTAAAAAGAAGATTAAATTTATTTACTTTCTTGGTTATATTTAATTTGAAAATTGTTTATTCTTTTTTCGTTCTAAATGGTTTTATCTTTTGTTTTTTAATTAACATTTCTTAGAAAATACTTTTATATAAAAGCTCTAATCTTAGTTAATCCTTATGATTTTTTTTTCAATAAAAATAATTTGTTGTTTTATTTAATTTAAAAACTTGTTTACCATTTTTTAGAAAAGAATATAAAATTCTTATTAATAAAATTCCTTTTAGATATAAAATATTATAAAGATTAATAAATAACTGTGAGTTTTCTTCATTTTTTTTATTTTTCTAAGGTTATTTGATATTTTGAGTCTTGTTAATGATAACTCACTTAAATCAATGAACTTATAATACAATTTTTTATTTAACAAAATAACTATTTAATTGTATATTTCTAAAGAATCAATACACAATTTTTTTCGAGTACAATACTTTAAAAATTGAAAGGTGTATATAATACCTTATTTCTCGAATAATTAATTTAATTTTGAAATAATTTTATATTAATAAAATTGTAATTATTATTATAATGAACTGTAATAATATTATGATTTTTTAGTTTTATATCTTATATATTTATTAATTCAAAAGATAATAAGATATTATAAAATAATAATAAAAAATTAAATCTTAATACTTTACCTAATTTAAGAGAAATATTGTATAAAACAGAATATGTATTTATTAATTCTTCTTTTGAAAAAGTGTTTTCTTTTTGTTATAAACAATTTCTTTAATTAACAAATTTGATAATGTTTAGGAAAAACTTGAAATTAATTTTTTTTGATAAAATTAACTTGAATGTTAACACAACGACATCTTCAAGTAAATTTTTATGATAGAGCAAATTCATTTATTGATGGACTCAATAGTAATAGAATTGATTTACAAATTCAAGCACTAAGGAATATAGAAATTGAATTTCTTGAATATGAAGATGATGCAGCAGAAAAGTCATGGCTTTATTCATTTATAAAATATGAAAAGAAAGCTCCTAAATCCAATCATTCACATAGAATCGCAACAAAAAAAGAGTTAATAAATTTTCTAGAATATACATCAAAAATTATTATCAATTTAGTGGTTGCTTGTCCACATGAAGAATTACTTCGTCATTCAATTCCTATTATAATTAGACTATGTCAAAACAAGTTATTACCAAATGACTTTTTCAAAAAATTATATCAAAATGCAGAAAGGTTGTCTGGACCAATTGTTATGAGAGCACAAGATTTAATCTTGAGATTGTTTAATAAATTATCTTCCGAAGAAAAAAAATATTTTAAATTATTAGCCATTAGTGGATCTGAGAATAGCCAAATTGAATCTCTTCATTTTCTTTGTAAACTAATCACTGCACATGAAATTTCTATTGAGGTTGTTCAAAAATTAATAAAACAAATATGTAAGAATATTCAACAATTAGAAAGTGATGTTTTTCCTATAATACAAATTCCTGAATTAAGAACGTTATTAAGGAAAAGTTTATTAACAGAATACTTAACTAATTTTCAAGACACCGGAGTTTTAAGTGCACTCAAGATCATAGCTGAAACTGATCCATTCGAAAGTGATGTGGATGACATTAAACAATTACTTGATATGTCTATTCTTAATGAAACTGAAAACTTAAAAGATGTATTGATTAACTTAGCACAGAAAAATGAAAATTTATTTTCTTCTTGTTTACTAGGAATGGTGAGACTTGAGGGATTCAATGAAACCACAAAATGGCTAACAGGAGAAATGATTACTGACCACATTGAAGATTTGATGAAAACCCTTTTAAATTACAACCAATTACCTGAAGCATCTTCTTCAATTGTAAGAAATACTTTTATTCAGTATAATGTTTTAATAACAAAAGGTATCCGTACAAATTCTAATAATCATATTATATTCGTTGATTATAATAGTTTAATTGGAAAAGAAATACTTTGGGATGTATTTTTAAAAAAGAAAAATCAAAAAATTGAACATTTATTAATGAAAATATATCAAGGAAAATTGAAGGAATATGTTATTGATGCATTACATGCTTTTATGAAAAATCCTCAGCTCATTGCCGCTGAAATAATTGAAAAATCTTTAAAAGATTTAAAACAATCATTGAAAGAAAATAAAGAGGGAAAGATTAAATTAAAACAATTTATTAAATTAAAGTGTGGTATTCCAGTTGGACAAATTAAAGTTAAAAGTACATCGTATTTGTGTCAATCTAGTGAGGATATCAAACAATTAAAATACCTTTCAGAAGAGGTTAATAACAAAATCAAACAAACTAAAGAAAAACTTGAGACTAAAATAGAAATTAAAGAAAAAGAGTATTTACCTGAAACTCCAGTTGATGCCATTGTCACTGACATATTAGCAAGTGTATATGAACAAAAAGGTACTTCAGCAGAATGGATAAAAAGAGTTATTAAAAACAATAAATATTTTATTACTACTCAAATTAACAATGAAGATGTAAGTATAAATGATATGGTTGGAGATTTACTTAAGAAAGATGGGAGTATTTTTTTATATATCCAAGAAGGAGTTAAAACGTTAAATTGTCAAAAATTAACAAAATCAAAAAGTAATGATAAAATAATTAATTGTGATCCAAAAACTTTAAAACAATTATCTTTTATAATTGAAGAAAATGAAATAAAAAATGTTATTGAATTAATTCAAAAAAAAGAAATGTATAGTATTGGAATTACATTACTAAAAGAAATTAACCCATTTATTAAATGGAGGTTATCACCAATTGAAAATTGTAAAGAACAAACTGGTTATGAGTTTATTGGATTCGAACGATTAATGACACAGAATGAAATACAAGAAGATGACTTTAAAGAACTCATTTCAATGTTTTGTCATTCTATTGAAACAAGAAAAGGTAATGAGAAATACATTGCTGAAATTCTTTTACATTTTGAAAAACTAGCAAAAAAGGAATTATGGTATATAAATGAAGAACAAATTAAAAAAATTCAAAAAAGATATTTTATGGAAGGAAATGAAAGAATTATTAATACAATATGTGATATATTATTATTAAGAAATAATCAAATAATTGAATGGAATAAAGAAGTAGTTGTAGAACCAATAAAGAGAGTAGTTAAAGAATTGATGAATCAAGAACTATTTGAAACGTTAATTCCTTATTTAGAAGAGCCAAGTGAATTAGTTGAAGAGTGTTATGAAATAATTATTCAGTATATTGATATAAAATATAATATTAATGATTTGTTTATTCAGAAAATGATTGAAAATATTACAAATAGAGGAAAAGGCTTTAAATTCAGTATTCGAGCAATGAAATTAATGAAAGACAAACAAAAACTTCTTCAACCTTATCTTATTACATTCATTGATTCGTTATTTCCAAAAGGAAAGTTAACTGAAATTAAAGAAGATACCCTCCATGATTATATTGAAATGATATGTGAATCTTGTAAGACGTGTAATGAAGAACAAAAGAAAGAAATTTGTCACCATTTTGATATGATATTAAGTATGTTAGAGAGTAATGGAAATCATATAGAAACAAGAAAAGGGTTGTGGTGTGGTTTGACTAATCAAGGGTCTACTTGTTATATGAATAGTATTCTTCAACAATTATTACATACTAAAATGTTTTGTAATAAACTTCTTGAAAAAAAAGTTATTACACCTAAATATTTTGAAGATACTGAAGAAAATAAAAATCAAAAAAATCTAAATATTATAAGTATTGAAAAATTTGATGTCAATAAAACAAAGACTATCGTTAACAAGGTTCAAATATTAAAAAAAGAAAATGGAGCTATAAATGATAATATTGAAAATGATTCAAAAGAAGTAATGCAAAAGATTGAACAAAGTGATAATACAATAAGTAAAACACAAGAAGAAATTGAACAAGAAATTAATTCACAAAAAGAGAATATTCAAAATAAAGAACAAAATGAATTTATTACTCATAATAAGAATGAATTTAAAGATTATAGAATGATAGAAGGATTACAAAAATTGTTTGTTGAAATGAAAGAAAGTAAATTACAAACTGTCAACACAAAAGAGTTTTGTAAAGAAGCACATGGAAGTTGTTATGAAGAAATTAATGTTTATGAACAAATGGATGCTCAAGAATTCTTTAATACAATAATATCAACATTAGAAATCTGTAAAAAAGAGAAAAATATCATTGAAGCAAGAAAAATATTTACTGGAGAAACAGAGATATCAATAAAAAGCCAGTGTGGTCATATAGTAAAACGAAATGAAGAATTTTGTTCATGTGCACTAGAAGTAGAACATTATCAATCAATAGGACAATCATTAAAAGCATTATGTGAAGGTTGTGTTTTATGTGATTATCGATGCGAACAATGTGGATTAAAAAGTGATGCTCAAAGAAGTGAAAAATATAAAAAATTACCAGAGACATTAGTATTTCATTTGAAACGATTTGGATATAATGAACAATTTCAAATTGTCAAGTATAATGGAAAATTTGAATATCCAAATGAAATTGATATGAAACAATATTGTTGTAAAGAATATAAAGGAATAACTAAATATAAATTAGTTGGAATAGTTATTCATACTGGAAGTGCATATGGTGGTCATTATTTTAGTAATATATTACTTAATGGTCAATGGATATCTTTTAACGATAAATTAGTTGAAAATATAGGTAACGGAAATTGGTTTGGAGGAGAAGTGTCAAATGCCTATATGTTATTTTATCAACAAATAAATATATTAGAAGAAAAAGAAAATGAAACATTTATGATTGATGAATTATTATTAAAAAGAATAGAAAAAATGAATTATAGTTATGTTTTATCAAAACAAGCATCAAAACCTTTTGTTATAGATTTTATTAAAGGAATTAATGAAAGTTGTAAATATATTGGAAATACATTATCATTCATACGTACAATTATTCTTAAAAGAAATCCTGAACAAAGCCTTGGAATTTTTGAAGGAATTTCTCAAATAATGAATCAAGAAATAGCTAGAGAAGTATTACAAAAAATATCAACATATTATTTAAAAGACTATTTAATATGGGGGAAGTCTATGATTATCTCAGCTATTAAACAAATCCAAGAACCTGTTTTTAATGAACTAATAATAAAAGAAGTAGAAAACGGAAATAGTCATGGAATAGAGGTTATTCAAGAATTGTATAAACTAATGCAAGTTAAGTTGAGTACTTGTGTAAGACTTTCAGTTCATATTATTAAAAATCAAAAATATAATTATGTACAAGGTAAAATTGCGTGTTCCTTTATACTCGAAGGAATTCAACAAAAAATCTATCAATTTGATAAAGATATATTGTTGAGTTTTAAAAGTACAAACTCTCCAGAAAGCCTTATTCAAGAAATCATTGAGAAGTACCCAACTCAAAAAGTTAATGAGTGTGCATTAAAACTAATAAAAAGTTCATTAAATAAACGAGAAATTAATGACGAAGAAATGATAAAATTAAAAAGATTAGTATGTAATGTTAATTGCGCAGTTTGTATTGTCAATGAGTGTTTGAAACATCTTTGTATGGCACCAGATAGCTGTAGATACTTTAAAATAATTCTAATAACAATGCAAATTGTATTACTTTCTCCTTTAATTTATAACGAATTAAAGAAAAAGATAAAAGAATTCAATGAAAATTTAGATTTTTACTCACTTAAAATAGTTTTAATTGAATAATTTGTATAATCAATTTTTTTGTTAAAAAATGATAAACTCATTTTCTTTCCTAGTTTATGATATATAATATTAAATATATAATAATACTCTTGTACTTTATCTGTAACTTTAAAATTAGAATACCCTTTTGAAATTATAAAGTATATGTATTGTTTATTTGAATATTATGTAATTGTATTAATAATAAATAAAATTAACTTTTGGTAAAAAGAAAATAATTATTTTTCTATTATTATTTAACTCACTCTATAAATTACTCCTTAAATGGGCTAGAATTAAATAACTATGCACAACATCTTTTTTTTTCTTTGTTTATGGTATGTGTTATGATCTATAGTTAAACCATTTCATTAAATTGGTTTTTAGTAGTTAAGTTTTAGGAAAAGTTTCAATGTCAAGTAAAGTACAAAAGAAACCTTTAAATTCTTTTATTTATTTTATTGATACAATATTCTGATAATAAAGATCTTGAAGGACAAACGAGTATAATTAATATTATAATTTATCGAAATAGTTAGAAAAAAAAAAAGAGTAACATTTATAAAAAAAGATTTTTTTAAAAAACATAATTTAAAAAAAAAAGATTTTGAGAACAAAAGAAGTGAAAAATAAAAACAATTAATAGATAAAAAATGAAAAAATTATTTTTATAAAATAAAAATGTAAATTAGAGTAATAAAAAGACAATTCATAAAATAGTATTTATTATAATAAATAATAATTTAATAAATCAGTTATTGAAATTCTATGAAAAAGAACTTAATTACAGTTATGTCACAACCTAACGCAATGGCAGATGTTTTCAAAGGTCTTCAATTCACTAATCCATTTTCTAATCAAACAAATCAACCCCCTTCAACAAAACCTAACGAAGCTACTCAAACACAAAGTACTTTTCATTTTAACTCTTCAACTCCATTTAATTTATCTAATCAATCAATATCCTCAAAACCAGAAGAAAAAAAACAAGAAGAAATTAAACCTACTCCAAACGCTACAGTAAATACTATACAAAATCCATTTACTTTTAATACTCAATCATCGAAACCTGAACAACAAACACAAAACGAAATAAAATTAACTTCAAATCCATTTGGAACTACTCAATCAACACTTTTACAAACAGATAATAAAAAACCAAATGATATAAAAACCATCAATGGATTTAATTTCAATTTAACTAGTACGTTTGGTTCTTCTACTTCATCAACTTTTCTTCAAAAACAAGATACTACTCCATTGACAAATTCATCTACAGTATCATTACCACAAAGTAGTTCTTCAACATTGGGTAATATTAATAAACCAAATGGATTAACACTTTCATTAAACCTTAATCCAAATGAAATTCCATCATCTCTCAATTTCACTAGTAATTCTCAACTATCATTTTCTAATGTATTTGCACAATCTAACAATAAACATGATACAACAAATTCTGATTTAACAAAAACAGAAGAGGAAACTGATGCAGAAGAAGAAGAAGAAGAAGAGTATGATGAGGATGGTGACCCTTCTGAAGAAAACAATAGTGATGATAGTGGGTCATGTATTACTATTCCATCAGAACTTATTAGCAATAAAAGCATTTGTAACAACGAACACAATGAATTTAATTTTAATATAGAAGAAGAAGATATTGATTTGTTATTAAAGAAGTGTCAAAGCGAAGGAGGGTTAGAATCATTTATGTCTGATTATGAACAAACAATGAAAAGTCAAATTCAAGAAATAACAGAAACGTGTGAAACTATAAACAAAGAGATAAAAGAAAATTATAAAACTGAATTAGCTGTTAAAAATGTTATTGCACAAACTACAAGAACTATCAATATTGTAAATAGTTATCTCGATGATGTGATTGAAAAACAACAAGAATTTGAATCAATGTTAAAAATGGCTGAACAATCATTAAAAGAATTAGACAGCGGTATTCAACGTAAAGAAGGAAATGATTTATATAAAGAAATTTCTACTAAAATTGAAGAAGTAGAAAAACAATGCAAAATGGTCAACGAAAAGATAAACAAGAAACTTGGAGAACAAGAAGACCCCTCGTTAATTAAAATTAAAGCTATGATTGATACTAATACTAAATTAGTCGAACAATTAGAAGATGGGCCTTTATAATTTGAATTGATTATTCTTTTTTTTTATTTAAGAATTTTCAAAAGAAACAAATAAATTAATTAAAATATGAAATAAATCATTTTATTTCTTAACTCGAAGTTTCTGTCTTAATTAAAATATGAAAAGAACAACTTTTTCTTCTAATTCTCTCTTTAATTATATTCTACAATAATTACAATTTGGTAATATAACAATAGATAAATACCTTCAATAAAATATTCAAACTGTAATAAATATTGTAAAGGAGTTATGAATTATTTCATTTATAGTTCAACAAATCTTTTCTTAAGACTAATAAAGAGCGGATTATAGAGGAAAAAAGAAAAAAATGAGAAAGATCTTGATTATTCTTTTGTGGTTATGTCTGGTAAAAGAAAAAGTGAAAACATCACAAATGATCAATTAAAAGAAGCTGTTACTCCTTCAATTAAACCATTTGAAGTTATTCAAAATGCAAGTGAAGTAATAGACCATATGAGTCATATTACACGAGAACAAGATATTTTATTAAAGAAAGAAAAATGGTATAAAGATATTAATATATATCGTTTAAGTTTTGTCATGGTGATGAATTTTTGCTATTTCCTTTTTGAATTGG